ATATATATATATTGATAACATTATTAGCAAATTGAATGAACTTGTAAGTCTTTTTATGAGAAATCTTGAACCAACACAAAAACCACATGAGCATGTTCCAATTGACTGAACTCATTCATATAAATCTTACATAAAATACTATGTGAGTCACCATTGAGGTTAAGCTCTGGAAAAAAAAACTATTTGAACTAAATCATCTATTATCCAGTGACATATTTTTTAGATAGAAAAAAAACTAAATCAGATCCAATGAGTTTCAAGTAATTATCTTATATATATATATATATATATATATATATATATATATATATATATATATATATATATATATATATATATATATATATATATATACATACACACACGTGTTCACCTAATACAAAGCCCAAGTGCCACTCAAGGTATAGGATTGCTTTGTGGTGCTGTATGAGCATAAGAAAGACAAGAAGTGAAGTTCACGGGGCTATGTAGGAAAGATAATAGTTACCCCTAGGTCAAGATTGGAGTGATTGAAAAAACATCCTGTTCTACAAATCAGCACTGCTTGGGAAGAAATTGGCCAAATGGAACTTATTTCTTACTATTGGAATATAAACTGAATGTGGACGATTCCCTCTTGTGTACATGGCATGGTGGATCCCAGCTGTAAAAGTCAAGAGTGGTAGAACTAAAGAATTTAGCTCTTATAATCGTTTCTAAATCGGAACAGCAAAAATCGATCACTTCATGCCATGAACATTCAATAATGTATCAAGGCTCTGCTACTAATGATGAATAGGCCACTTGTCAAGTGAATAAATTCTAAGTTGACACTTAGTTTAGAATTTGATTCTCTCCTTCAAAACTATAGATTTCTTCCTCCTGTTTCCACTATAGGCAGCAGATGCCTGTGAGCATTTTGTAAACATTGCAATGAGTTTTGGTTGATTGATTGATAGATTTGTTTTTTTTTATGCCTTATCAACCTTCTGCAGGTTATTTAAAGCCAGAAAATATTTTTAGATTATAAAAGTTTTTGGGCGAAAATGATTTACTGATAAAAATTTTGCTAATTAGCCCATAGCTGGGACAAGCATAGATTCATACCTTTCCCAAGGTGTGCATATGTGAATATAACAAACCTCACTGTAATGGGAATTCGGTTCACAGATTTCCAATTCTGAGCCATTATCAATTACACCACCCACACATCTGTGCAATACTCTCTTAAGCATTGCGAGATTTTAATGTTTATGACTGCAAGTGAGACTGGAGGTTTAGCAGAGGCTACTAGCTTACTGCAGCATCAGTATAAATAGCATGTAGCACTGTTTATCCATGAGAAATACAGATATAAAAAATTTGGTAACAACTGGTGTGCTTAAAAAAAAAAAAAAAAAAAAAAAAAAGAAAATCGCAAAATGGGCCATTCTCAAGTGAGGGACATTTTAATTTAAAAATCTTTATTTTACTTATTTATTTTTTAATTATTTTTACATTAAAAAAAATCAAAAAGCTTTGCTCTTTGGCAAAGAGATACACAGATTTTATAACATCTGAATTTATGTTCACAGCCAGCTCCAAGATACAGAGATTTGATAAGCTAAATTTTTTTTTTTTACTAAAATCCACTATCACAAGGCTTGAGAGCCACTCAAATCAGAGGATTACTGAATGATGTGCATGATACAAATGTACAAGGAGGTAGTAGGAAATTAACATTATGAGAATAAGGTGGATAGTTAATGACTGAATACAGTGTAACCCGGATATAAGAGAGATTTTCTCTGGTCCCAAATTAGAGCCTGTGTTAATGTATATAAAATAGACCAAACCCGGATACAAGAGAAACCTGGATATAAGAGACTTCTTCTCCGGTCCCGACAACTCTCTTATATCCGGGTTACACTGTATTATACAAAATCCAAAATACAAGGCAAGGATCAAACTCACTGTGGTAAAAATGTCTTGCAAGATGAGCATGCTAACCTTTGTTTTGCAGTGAGACACCTATTTTTGGCATTTACCAAGTATAGCACAAGGTGAAAATTATGGAGCACCATTGAAGATTGGACTCATTATTTTAGTAATTTTCTTACTAACTACTGGTCCAAAAAAGTGACAATTGTACAGATATTCACAGGCAAATCAACAATCTCTCACTTTTTAGAAAGTACTGTTTTTAGGATGAAAATATTCTGTTTATAAATTCATAGCATTATTATTCAGTGGGAGTGTTTTCCACTGACTTCTTTTGACATATCACCTTTCAGTTAAATTATACACTATCATATTAAGTTGAATCAAAAGTTTCTACCATTTAACAAAACCTTTTGTTCAAATAAATCCATAGCAATATTATTCAGTCATCAATGTATTTCCCTTGGTTTCTATGACTTTACATCACTTTCAGCTAAATTATGAATTCTCTCATAAATAAAATCCCAGTTTTGGTTTGAAGAATTTTTTAGTATCTTCAACTTTTCCATTATTTTTTTTTTTTTTTTTTTTACATGTTAAT